CACAGTGTACAAATTTGCTCATTTCCCCATATAGGTCTGACAACATGGGGCATTTTAACTTAAAATTTTTTTTTGGTTCTCTTCTTACTTTCTCTTTGACTGCTTGCTGTCTAGGATGTTCTTGGAAATAATTTTTTCCAGATTTATTGAGATATTATTGACATATAACATCATGTAAGTTAAAGGTGGACACCTATGTTGACTTGACATACACGTATTGTTAAATGATTACCACAGTAATGTTAGCTAACACCTCTGCTGCTGCTAAGTCACTTCAGTCATGTCCGACTCTGTGTGATCCCATAGATGGCAGCCAACGCCTCTAGAACCTCGCATAATTATCATTTGTTTCTTTTATGGTGAGAACGAAGTGGTGAGAACACTTAACATCTATTCTTTAATCACCATGCCGTGCATTAGATCCCTAGAATTTATTCATCTTATAACTGAAAGTCATGTTCTTTGTCCAACATCTCACTATTTCCCCCATACTCTAGCCCCTGGCCACCACCATTCTGCTCTTTTTTTTCTGTAAGTTTAGGTTTATAGATTCCACATATAAGTTGATATCATGTAGTATCTGTCTTTCTCTTTCTGCCTATTTCACTTAGAATAATGCTTTCAGGATCCATCCATGTTGCTGCAAATGGAAGAATTTCCTTCCTTCTCATATCTAAATAATATTCCATTGTGTTTGTGTGTGTGTGTCTATGTATCAAAACTTCTTTATCCATTCATCTATAGATGAACATGTAAGTTTCCATAGTTGGGCTGTTATGAATAGTGCTGCAATGAACATTGAACATGGGGGTACAAATAAACCTTTTTTAAAATTAATTTTTATTGGAGTATAGTTGTTTTCCAATGTTGTGTTAATTTCTGCTGTGCAGCAAAGAGAATCAGCTATATGCATACACATATGCCCTCCCTTTTGGCTCCCTTCACGTTTAGGTCACCACAGAGCGCTGAGTAGGGGTCCCCGTCCTACATACTAGGCTCTCGTTAGTTACCTCTTTTATACATGGGCGTGTAAATATGTCAATCCCAGTCTCTCAATTCATCCCACTCCCTGTTCTGCCCCCGCCCCCTTGCCGGTATTCATATGTCTATTTAGAAGTACAGACATACCTTCAAGATCCTGAACTCATTTCCTTTGGGTATACATTGAGAAATGGGATTGCTGGATTATATGGTAGTTCTATTTCTAGTATTTTTGAGGAACCTCTATACTGTTTTCTGCAGTGGCTGCATTAATTTACATTCTTACCCACTGTTCCCCTGATGCTGGGAAAGATTGAAGGCCAAAGGAGAAGCGGGTAGCAGAGGATGGGGTGGTTAGATAGCATCACCAACTCAATGGACATGGATCTGAACAAACTCCAGGAGACAGTGAAGGACAGGGAAGACTGGCATGCTGCAGTCCATGAGGTCACGAAGAATTGAACATGACTGAGCGACTAAACAACACAACACCACCCACAGTGTACAAGGCTTTCCTTTTCTCTATGCCCCTGCCAGCACTTAGCTCTTGTCTTTTCAATAACAGCCATTCTGACAGGTGTGAGGTGACATTTCATTGTGGTTTTGATTTGCATTTCCCTCATGATTAGTGACTTTGAACATCTTTTTATGCACATGTTGGCTTTGTGTGTCTTCTTTGGAAAAATTGTCTATTCATGCCCTCTGCCCATTTGAAAAATAGGATTGTTTGGTCTCTTGCTATTGAGTATGATTTTTTTAATATATTTTGGATATTAACCCTTTATCAGAAATATGACTTGCAAATATTTTCTCCCATTCTGTAGGCTGTCTTTTAATGTTATCAATTGTTTCTTCTGCTTTGAGAAGCTTTTTAGTTTGACCTGCATTTGTGCATGCTCAGTCGCTTCAGCCATGTCCGCTTCTTTGCGACCCCATGGTCTGCAGCCTGCCAGGCTCCTCTGTCCATGGGATTCTCCAGGCAAGAATACTGGAATGGGTTGCCGTGCCCTCCTCCAGGGCATCTTCACAACCTAGGATCAAACCCATGTCTCTTGCATTGCAGGCAGATTCTTTACCACCAAGCCACCTGGGGAAGCCCTTTTAGTTTGATGTAGTCCCACATATTTATTTTGGCTTTTGTTGTCTTATGTTTTTGGTGTTATATCCAAAAATTGTTGCCAAGACCAATAGTAAGGGACTTTCCCCCTATGTTTTCTTTAAAGAGTTTCACAGTTTCAGGTCTTTTGTTGAAGTCATTAATTCATTTGAGTTAATTTTTGTGAATAGTGCAAAATAGGGATCGAATTTCATTCTTCTAAATTATTCAATTTCTCCAGCACCATTTACTGAAGAGACTATCCTTTCCCCACTGAGTATTTTTAGCTCCCTTGTCAAATAGCAGTTGACCATGTATATGAAGGTTTATTTCTGGGCTCTCTGTTCTATTCCATTTGTCTTTTTGTCTATGTATCTATTTTTATGTCAATATACTATTTTGATTACTATACCTTTGTAATATAGTTTGGCATCAGGAAGTGTGATACTTCCTGTTTTGTTTTTCTCATATTTGTTCTGGCTTGAATAAGGTCTTTTGTGGTTCCAGATAAATTGTACAGTTGTTTTTTCTATTTCTGTGAAAAATTCCATTGGAATTTTGATAGTGATTGCATTGAATCTGTAGATGACTTTGGCTGGACTGAAAGTTTTAACTATATTAATTCTTCCAACCCATGAACATGGGATATCTTTCCATTTAATTGTCTTTTTCTATTTCTTTCACAAACATCTTATAGGTTTCAGCATACAGATATTTTACCTCCTTGGTTAAATTTATTTCTAAGTATTTTGCTGTTTTTGAAGCTATTGCAAATGGAATTATTTTCTTCATTTCAGATATTTTGTTGTTAGTGTATAGAAACACAACTGATTCTTAGAAAATTTTGATGGGCTAAATTAAATTGTGTGTATTCTCTCTCTAGTTTGTTTTCTTTTCAGAAAGTAAGATGGGAAATATCACTTTGCTTTAGATATATGACAATGAGTTTTTTTCTCTTAAACATTCTTCTCAGTCAGCAGTAGAAAACTTTTATGTTGCTAATAAAGAACAAGAAACCCCTTCTTTTTAATGGGTATTGCAAATAGCAGATGGTCATATGAGATTTTTCTCCCAAGGCTCTCCTTAGCAATGGTCCTCAGTTTGTCTCTGCAATAGTCTTAAAATCTTACTTGGGAGAACTTGTCTTCTAGCTTGGACATGCCTTCTAAAATGAATTTTAAACAATAGTTCTTGATAGAAATTTAAGTGAAGTCATGAGTTAGTCCCTTCTCTTGTTTGTCCTTCCAACTGTCTGGATAAATTATTGAATGCCTACTAAGTGTCTGGTGTACAAGAGGCTGTGAAGTACAGGCAAGCCTCATTACCTACAGATTCCATATTTATGACTTTGCTTACTTGCTAAAATTTACTGTAATCCTAATCAGTGGCTCTTTTATGGTCATTTGTAGGCATGTGTAGCATAGGGAAAATTTGAGTTGCCCAAAAAGCACATTCCCAGGGGAGGCAGAACAAGGTGTTTCTCCATTTTATCTCTCATGCTCTAAATAAGTGTCTTTGTGTGATGTACTTAATGCCATGTTTCTGAATTTTTCTTGGTGATTTCCTTGTTTAAATACTGAAGCGCTGTCTAGGGTTCCAAAGCACAGGAAAGCTGTGATGTGCTTTAGGGAGACTTTGTGTTTGTTAGGTAAGCTTTATTCAGTCATACAGTGCTTTTATTCAGAAATATGGTGCTATTGGCTGTGAGTTCAAGGAACCAATGACATATATTAAATAAGGCATCTTTAAACAGAAACACACATAAAACAAGGTTCTGTGTGGACTGGTTGATGAAAATGTGACCAGAATCTCATAAAAATCTAACCCTGTGTTTTCCGTGGGAGCAATGCTTTAGCGTTTGCTAATTTGGTATTCACAGCAACGATAGGGAACATAACCAGCAGGAATAACCAGAACTGACTGCATATCAAAGGGTGACAGTTTGCCCTGGTAGATGGAAGGGACACATATAAAACAAATAATGAACAACATAAACAACGAAAGTAGTATAAATAGCAAAGAAAAATCAGAGTGAGATGGAGGAAGGCTTTGTGAAAGCAGTAGTCTTAAGTCTGGGCTCTGCAGGATGAAGGGAATTTAGGTAGACCCAGGAAGCTGAGAGTAGGGTCAATAGTCGTGAGTTAGGGGATGAGAGGTTGTAAGCCAGCTTGCTTGAATTTCAAGGTAGCTTTGAGTCTGAGACATATGAGAAATAAAAGTGGAAAAATAGTGTGGGCGAGGTTATAGAGGGTCCTGGATGTTAGTCTGAGAGGATCTGGGTTTTTTCTTTAGACCAATTGTTTAAAAAAGAAACAAAATAACTTTACTAAAGTATAATTTCCATACAGTAATACAATGCACCCATTGGTTTGATAGTTTGATGAACTTTGACAAATGTATACTAAAAACCACTACAATCAAGATATATATATATATATAAAATATTCTGACAACCCTAAAATGTTCTCTCATATTCCTTTGCAATCAACACCCCTATCACTCATAATACTAGGAAAAAATATATAGCATAAATTTGCCTCTTAGAGAATTATAGATAAATGAACTACTAAGTATTCTTATCAGACGGGCTTCTTTTGCTTAGCATAATGTTTTTGAGACTTATCCATTCTGTATATAGTGCATAGTGTCTTTTGAAATACAGAACAATACTTCATTTTATGGATGTATCAAAATCTGCTTATCTATTTGCCTGTTACAACATTTAGGTTGTTTCTAGTTTTGAGCTGTTATAAATAAAATTGCTATGGCCATTTATGTACAACTCTTTCTGTGGAAATATGTTCTCATTTTTCTTGGGTAAATGTCTAAGAGTAATAACTGTTGGGTCATATAAGTGTGTATTTAACTTTAAGAAACTGCCAAGCTATAATACTTCCAAAGTGGTTAAAACATTTTATATCAGGATTCGCGACACCAGGAGGCCGGCGACGCACCATCCGGAGCTCCGGGTCTCAGCAGATGGGGTCTCCCCTCAGCTTGGAGTCATCATGTCCCATCCCAGTGCCCCCCCTCCATATGAGGACCGCAGCCCCCTGTACCCTGGCTCTCCGCCCCCAGGGGGCTACGCGCAGCTGTCTGTCATGCCCAGGGGGTACCCTGCCTACCCACAGCCTGGCTACGGTCACCCAGGTGGCTACCCACAGCCTATGCCCCCAGTCCACGTGATGCCCATGAACTATGGCCCAGGCCATAGCTATGATGGCGGGGAGAGAGCAGTGAGTGACACTTTTGGATCTGGAGACTGGGATAACAGGAAAGTCCGACACGCCTTCATCCGAAAGGTTTACACCATCATCTCCATCCAGCTGCTCATCACAGTGGCCATCATCGCTGTTTTCACCTTTGTGAAGTTGGTCAGTGACTTCGTGAGGGCAAACATGGCTGTCTACTGCGCATCCTATGCTGTCTTCCTGGTCACATACCTGACGCTTGCTGCCAGGCACCCAGACGCCGTTTCCCATGGAACATCATCCTGCTGGCCCTCTTACTCTTGCCATGGGCTACATGACCGGCACCATCTCCAGTGTGTATAACACCAAAGCCGTCATCATCGCAGTGATCGTTACTGCTGTGGTGTCCATTTCGGTCACCATCTTCTGCTTCCAGACCAAGGTGGGCTTTACCTCGTGCACAGGCCTCTTCTGTGTCCTGGGAATAGTGATGATGGTGACTGGGCTTATCACTGCCATTGTGCTGGCCTTCAAACACATTTACTGGCTGCACATGGCCTATGCTGCTTTGGGGGCCATTTGCTTCACTTTGTTCCTGGCCTATGACACACAGCTGGTCCTGGGGAACCGGAAGCACACCATCAGCCCGGAGGACTACATCACCGGCGCCCTGCAGATCTACACAGGTATCGTCTACATCTTCACCTTTGTGTTGCAGCTCGTGGGGAGTCGCGACTAAGGAGCACCTCCGGGGCTTTCCCTTCCCTAGAGGGCTGGGCCCTGTGATCCTGGTCTGGGCCTACACCCATTTCCTTCTCCCCAAGTAATACGCCCATTTTTCTTTCTGTCCAGGTATGGGCAGCCTCTCTTGCATTGGATGTATAGGTACCTGATGGGGCTGGAGGAACTGGGGACTAACTCTTGCCCTTAGTGGACAGAGCTGGGCCAAAGATGTGTGTTTTCCCTCCACCTCACTACAGGGCACCAAAGCCTTAACAGCTGGGGTTGGAGTGGGATGGGGTGAAAAGAGCCTGTTCTGTAGCTAAAAGGGAACGTGAGAAGGAGAAGGGACTTCCTGGTGATAAGGTTTCCCCTCCCACTCCTGCCATGGGCTTCTGGGCTTGACAGCTGGAGCATTTTCCCTCTCTCAATCCCAACAAAGCCAGAGAGCTGTCCCCTGCCTCCTGTACTCATATCTTGTACTTTTTGGCAACCCTTGGCCCCTTTCAACACAGGAAGGTGGAGGGGGTTTGTCTCCCCTGCTTCCACCCCTTCTTTGATAGCATTTATATAATGATCTTCTGGGTTAGGGGTGGGGAGGAAGAGGAGAGTGAGCAAAGTCAACACCGAGGCCAGCTGAGAGCAGCATCTGTCCAGGGCTTCCTCAGGGCTTGTGTGGTAGAGAGCGGGCCCCCTGGCAGTCACCTGGTTCTCCGAAGCTGCCTGGGGCTTCTCTGGTACTTCTGAGATCTCTATAGTCAGTGGGACCACTTGCTTCCTGTGCTCAGGCTGCTCAGAGCAAAAAGTGAGGGCAGAAGTCAGGAGATGGGGTGGTGTGTAGGATCACTATAGCCAGGAAGTAAGCAGGGTGAAGACAGCCTAGAATGTGGGCAGGGTCCCCCATCCTGAGAGATACGGAAGTCTACGTGGTACCCAAGGGGCTTCCCTTCTGCTAAGTGGGGAGGGCCCTGAGAGGAAGGAGAAGCCCTTCTTAGTCTGTGAACTCACGCTGGGGAGATTTAAGATGCCCCGTCTCTCCAGCCAACTACCTACCGCTTTCTTCATGACACCAAGTGCCTCAAGCTGGAACTGGGGGGGGGGGGGGGGACAAGGGTCACTCTACGGGGTGGGGGTGGAAACCAAAAAAGCCCAAGGATATAATTAGGACTTCTTTATTAAGTATGTGGTCCTAAATATATCCCACAAAGGAACATAACTAGAAATAAAGTTTTGTTTAGAAGGTAAAAAAAAAAAACAAAACATTTTATATAACCCCAGCCATATATGAGGATTCCAGTTGCTCCATATCCTGACAGCTAATACAGTTAGTCTTTAAAATTTTTGCCATCTTAGTGGGTGTGGAATCTCATTGCATTTTTAACTTAAATTTTCTTTAAGACAAATGCTATTAAACATATTTTCATGTATTTGAGATTTTATATATTATTTTGTGAAGTAACTGTTCAAATATATTACCATTTAAAAGATTGTCTTATTGACCTGGAGATATTCTTTAAATATTCTGCATATTAGTCCTTTGTCACACATATATATTATGAATTTTTTCTTGCATGACTTGCCTTTATACTTTTATAATGGTGTCTTCTGAAGAGAAAATTTGCTGACATATTGAGTGCAGCACTTTCACAGCATCATCTTTTAGGATTTGAAGTAGCTCAACTGAAATTCTACCACCTCCACTAGCTTTGTTCATAGTGATGCTTCCTAAGGCCCAGTTGACTTTGCATTCCAGGATGTCTGGCTCTAGAGTGGTCACATTATTGGAGGATAGTTGATTTAATTTGCTGTGTTTCAGGTGTCCAGCAAAGTGAATCAGTTATACATATACAGATAGCCATTCTTTTTAAAGGTTCTTTTCATATAGATGATTGCAGAGTACTGACTAGTTTCCTGTGCTATACAGTAGGTCTCTATTGGTTATCTATTTTGTATATAGTAGTGCTTATGTATCAATCCCAACCTCCCAGTTTATCCCTCCCCCCTACTCTTACCCTCTGGTAATCATAAGCTCGTTTTCTACATCTCTTAACTCTATATCTGTTTTGTAGATAAGTTCATTTGTAACCATTTTTGTTGTCTTTCTCTGTCTGACTTACTTTACTCAGTATTACATTCTTTGGGTCCAGCCATAATGCTGCAAGTTGCACTATTTTTTTCTTTTTTAATGACTGAGTAATATTGCATTGTATATATGTACCACATCTTCTTTATCCATTTCTTCGTTGATGGACATTTAGGTTGCTTCCATGTCCTGACTATTGTAAATAGTGCTGCAGTGATTATTGAGATGCATGTATCTTTTGGAATTATGGTTTTCTCTGAATATGTGTCTGCCCTTTAACTGAGATATGCAGATATTGAGCAGATCTCAATTCATGAAGCCATTCAGTGAACTTTTCATTTCAAATATTTCATTTTAATCTCTAAGTGATCTATGTTATCGTATATATTCCATTCCTCTCTTCATTATGTTCATGTTTTCTTTTAAACACTTATACATAGTTGTAAGATTCATAATTGTTTTACATCCTTGTTTGAAAATTCCCCATCAGATATGTCATTTCTAGCTCCATGCCCATTGACTGATTTTCTTCATGGTTTTGAGTCACAGTTTTCTACCTTTTTACCTTTCTAATAATTATTTTCAATGGAAACGGAGCATTATTAATTTCCTTTGTTGAGTGCTTGATTTTGTTGTATTCCTTTAAAGAGTGATGGTTTTGTTTTGGTAGGCAAAAGTTCTTGCAGTTACTTTATTTATTTATTTTTAATTAATTGATTCATTTATTTTACTTTACAGCATTGTGTTGGTCTTGCCATACATTGACTTGAATCCGCCATGGGTGTACATGTGTTCTTCATCCTGAACCCCCCTCCCACCCCCACCCACCCCATCCCATCCCACTGGGTCATCCCAGTGCACCAGCCCTGAGCACCCTGCATCATGCATCGAACCTGGACTGGCGATTCATTTCACATATGATAATTTACATGTTTCAATGCCATTCTCCCATATCATCCCGCCCTCGCCCTCTCCCACAGAGTCCAAAAGACTGTTCAATACATCTGTGTCTCTTTTGCTGTCTCGCATATGGGGTTATTGTTACCATCTTTCTAAATTCCATATATATGCTTTAGTATACTGTATTGGTGTTTTTCTTTCTGGCTTACTTCACTCTGTATAATAGGCTCCAGTTTCATCCACCTCATTAGAACTGATGCAAATGCATTCTTTTTAATGGCTGAGTAATATTCCATTGTGTATATGTACCACAGCTTTTTTATCCATTCATCTGCTGATGGGCATCTAGGTTGCTTCCATGTCCTGGCTATTATAAACAGTGCTGCGATGAACATTGGGGTACATGTGTCTCTTTCAATTCTGGTTTCCTCAGTGTGTATGCCCAGCAGCAGGATTGCTGGGTCATATGGCAGTTCTATTTCCAGTTTTTTAATGAATCTCCACATTTTTATCCATAGTACTAGTTTGCATTCCCACCAACAGTGTAAGAGGGTTCCCTTTTCTCCACACCCTCTCCAGCATTTATTGCTTGTAGACTTTTGGATAGCAGCCATTCTAACTGGCGTGTAATGGTTACTTGAAGACCAGATTGATCCTCTTAAGGTTTCTTTTAAGGTTTTTTAAGGCAGGTCTGGAGTATACCTTAGAGCTCTGGTATAGTAGGCTCTATTTATCATATTACTAAGCTATGGCCCTTCTGGTTACTTTACTGAACGCCTTATGAATTAAGTGAGATCTGTCTACTCTAGCTGATGGAAACAAGTGATTTTCATATCTGTTTGAGTTCTGGGAATTTCCTGGCTTACACCTCTCTGCTGATTGTTCTTTCCTGTCATTTTGGAGCTTGACCTGATGCATATACAGGTTAGTATTCAAGCAAAGATTTGAGGGAACCCTATGCAAATTTCCAGGGACATAGCTTCATACAGCTCCCTTATTTTCAGTATTCTATTCTGCAACTTGTAGCTGCTTTCTCAAATTTTAATCTCTGTCTCCTCAACTTAGCAAGACCACTAGGCTTTGTTTGGATTCCTCTTCCTCGTGCTGCAATTTGGAATTTGCGTGCAGGTGGATAGTCAGGGTGAATATAAAACATCATATTTATTTTATTTATTTATTTTTTTACCTCAGTGCCTAATTTTTTTTTTCATTTATTTTTATTAGTTGGAGGCTAATTACTTTACATCATTGCAGTGGGTTTTGTCATACATTGAAATGAATTAGCCATGGATTTACATGTATTCCCCATCCTGGTCCCCCCTCCCACCTCCCTCTCCACCCGATCCCTCTGGGTCTTCCCAGTGCACCAGGCCCGAGCACTTGTCTCATGCACCCAACCTGGGCTGGTGATCTGTTTCACCCTAGATAATATACGTGTTTCGATGCTGTTCTCTTGAAACATCCAACCCTCGCCTTCTCCCAGAGTCCACAAGTCTGTTCTATACATCGGAGTCTCTTTTTCTGTTTTGCATATAGGGTTATCGTTACCATCTTTCTAAATTCCATATATATGTGTTAGTATACTGTAATGGTCTTTATCTTTCTGGCTTACTTTGCTCTGTATAATGGGCTCCAGTTTCATCCATCTCATTAGAACTGATTCAAATGAATTCTTTTTAATGGCTGAGTAATATTCCATGGTGTATATGTACCACAGCTTCCTCATCCATTCGTCTGCTGATGGGCATCTAGGTTGCTTCCATGTCCTGGCTATTATAAACAGTGCTGCGATGAACATTGGGGTGCACGTGTCTCTTTCAGATCTGGTTTCCTCAGTGTCTATGCCCAGAAGTAGGATTGCTGGGTCATATGGCAGTTCTATTTCCAGCTTTTTAAGAAATCTCCACACTGTTTTCCATAGTGGCTGTACTAATTTGCATTCCCACCAACAGTGTAAGAGGGTTCCCTTTTCTCCACACCCTCTCCAGCATTTATTGCTTGTAGACTTTTGGATAGCAGCCATCCTGACTGGTGTG